TCACAGCAAATGAGCTGTGATTTTTATCTGAAAGCTTATTTTTTTAAGCATAAATTCTCTCTGCTATGAGGTGACTTCAGACAGCCTCAAAGCATGAAGTGTTTCATTTGCTGAAAATTGCCACAGGCTCCTATAATCTGCAGATACCTATTTTTTTTTAGATTAGGGATTGGGAGGAAAGCAAACGAATTGTGTAACTATCACTATATGTGCATTATCAAAACAAATTATTTTACAATTAATTAAAATTTACTAAATACATCTTATATGTAAATTTTAGTATCTTCTTAGGCTATTAAATGCAATCTTAATATTTTTCTTAACTTACCAGTTTTGAAGGCATAATAAAAATTAGCCATTTATTGTTATAGTTCATGTTAAAGAACATATTCTGCTTAGAAACACTTGAAAGTCTTAAGTGCTGACTAGGACATTTAAAAATGTTGTATTATTTAAAAAAGATTGCTTGACAGACGAATCAGTATTTCTGCCAGTTTTTGCATCATTATTTTTGGCAGGATAATAAGCTATAATGCCAGGATTCAGATATATGGTAGTTGGAATTATAGATGATCCAAAAATTCATTCCGAAACTGATACATCTCACACCCATAGGAAGTAGGGTGTGGATGACAAATAAGTAGGTGTATACATGGTTTTGAAGCTACCCAAATAAAGATAAGTGGTTCCTAATGAGGGGATGGGAACTTTTGAACTATAACTTTATGCATTTTAAATTAACAGAACATTCAAAGCCTTAGCACACTGTCAGGCTTTGGCAATATGTAGTGGTAAATACACAATAATGCTCAGCACTTTTTGAGGGGAAAGACATGACTTTGAGCAGTTTCTGACATATATGTTCTTTGCTTATGAGGAAGCAGTTGAAGTTACTGAAGAGAGAGGTTCATTGATGGAGTATGACATCTGAGGAGGTGTTTTTAAGGCCATCTTCAATGGTTATGCATAAGGATGTTGTGCCAAGCAGGTGACGAGGGGCTGAAATTGTGTGCTTTGCCTGCTAAATGTATGTCCTGGTGCAGGGATTGTGTACCTAGAGGAAGCACTTTTCTCTTACACAGTGACACATGAGCTACCAGAGGTTGGTGGGTAGAGATGAGCTCCAGAGCTCAGGAGAAGTGATTCCTGTTCCATAATCACAGTAGGAAAGTGGAAAGCAAAACCTAAACAGGCACCCGCTCAAATATTTGTTCAATATTCATTTTATTGAAGATAGGAAGATACTTTTTAGTAAAAAAATATTATGTCTCATTATGTTCATAGTGAAAGATTTACCAGATGCTAGCTACAGAACATAGCTAAACATTTTAACATATATTGTAAAAAATTTTCCTACCACTTACAACAAGATCGCATTATTTATTCACACTCATTAAGGATTGAGTGTCCCATAAAGCCCTGCTTGATCTGACTTCTCCCTACCTTTCTGCCATCACCTCCTACAGTTTATTTCCTTGCTCCTAATATTCCAGCCACAGAGAAGTCTTTTTTTTCTATTCTTCAAAGGCCAAGTGTGTTTCTGTTTTGGGACTTGCTATTTCTGCTTGGAATTTTCTGTTTCCCCCTCTGTCCTGTCTTTGCATGGTTGGTTTCTTTTATCCTGTAGGTTGTTTGTACCTCAGTGTGTCTGTCCCTTACTCTCAGTCTATATTAGCAGCTTCTCCAGCTCCGTCTTCTCTATCATATCATCGTTTTTTCAAACAAACAGTATTTATTACTGTATATTCTCTTTTTAAAAATAGTATTTATTGCTATTTATTACCTGCATTTGTTTGTTTATTATCTATTTATTGTAGAATTTAAGTCCCCCAGAGCAGAGACCTTGTACCACATAATTGGTACTCAATTTTATTGTTGAATAAATGATTAAAGTGGGAACATGTTGTTCAAAATGTATTTTAAAGTTATTTTCCTGTTTTATAGGTTGGCAGCATGCTCCTCACTCTTCTGTATTTTGGGTTCTGTATTTTTTTTTTCTTTTTTAAAAAAATATTTTTATTGATTTTTTTAGAGAAAGAGGAAGAAAGGGAGAGAAAGAGAGGGAAAGAAACATCAATATGAAAGAGAAACATTGGTTGGTTGCCTCCAACAGGCACCCTGACCAGCAACCTGGGTATGTGCCCTGACTGGGAATTGAACTGGTGACCTTTCCGTGCACACAGTGACACTCAACCAACTGAGCCACGCTAGCCAGGGCTGCAGTCAGTTTCTGATGTTGCTTCTGAACCAGACAGCTTCTTGTGAGGCATATTAAAGGTTTCATATTTAGGTTAAGAAAAATAAATTACTTGTTTCTTGTAAGCTCCATGCAATGCACTATTTAGTGTCAAATTTTCTGCAGATTGTGACTGTGAGTTTGAAGTGCCTGTTGGCTGTTTGAATCAGGATTGGTAACCTTCAGTAGTACCGTACTATATAATAGATACAGTTTGCCACGATGGAGAGAGGTTTGGGCTGGTAAGAAGTATTTTAAAATTTTCTAACAAATTCTGTCAACTTTGGTGGTTTAGAGACCAGTGCACATTTGCTCAGTTATGAAGCAGTTACTTTAAATGGTCCCTTATCAATTTATTGAGTTTATTCCAGTGATGTTATAGTGCTTCTTGTAGACTGGCACTCAGGCAGCTATTTGGTCAGCCAGCCCTTTGATCCAGCCCTGGGAAATGGGTAGGTATGGGTACAAGTCAATTTAAGTGTGGTAGCAAGGGTTTGAGGAGTTCTTGGCTGATGTTCCTTATCAGTGAATTAGGAGGGAAAGGCATTTGCTCAGACTAAGGGGAGAAATAACACAGAGAGTGTGAGGAAAGAAGTGAAGAATAGTTACTGACTGGGTAGAGCTGAGGACCAAACTGAGATAGGGAATTGATACATTTCAGTGGTACCTATCTGTCTATATATGTATGAACAACTGGAATGGTAAGTTTTGGGGTAATATAATAGTTCTTTAAAAAAATTCTCTACTATATGTTTGACAGTTGAAATTTTGAGAAACACTGTCAAATGGGGTTTTCAGTGTATGTTTTTTTAAAAAATATGTTCTTATTGATTTTAGAGAGAAAGGAAGGGAAGAGGGATGAGAGATAGGAACATAGATGAGAGAGAAACATTGATTGGCTGCCCCTTGCATGCCCCCTATACTGGGGATCGAGCCCCCAACCCGGGCATGTTCCTTGACTGGGAATTGAACGGGTGATCTCTTGGTTCTTGGGTCAGTGCTCAACCATTAAGCCACACCAGCCGGACTTCAATGTATGTTGATATGAGATAAAACTACAACATAAACGGTGAGTGTAAAGGGATTGATATGATGGTAATGATTCTACATTCCATTTGAATTGCTAAAATAGTGATTCTAAGAAGACTGAAAAGTAAATTCACTGTAATCCCTAGAGCAATCACTAAAAAATTTACAGAGTTATAATAAAGACATACACAGATATAATAAAAAACACAATAAATAAAATGAAATACTAAAAAATATTCAATCCAGAAGGCAAGAAAGAGGCTTCTCTTTGGCATATCCAAACTGCCAGCATCACTACTCTTGTGCTCTGGGGCCATTAAGTAAAATCGGGGTTACTCAGACAAAAGCCCTTTGATACTTACAACCCAGTTGGCTAGCAAGTGACTAATGGGTAGGTAGCATATACAGCACTGAAACACTGGACACAGAGATGATTCATTTCCCAGGTGCAATGGAGTGGGATGGCACAAGATTTCATCACGTTCCTCAGAACGGTGTACAGTTTAAAACTTAGGAATTGTTTATTTCTGGAATTTTCCATTTAATATTTTTGGACCAAAGTTGAATGTATGTAACTGAAACTGGAAAGCAAAACTGCAGATAAGTGGGGACTATTGTATGTTCAAATGATAGGAAGAATAAAATAATCTAAGAGATTTAAAAAATAAAATTGTACTAATGTAGAGGAGATAGGTTGATACTCAAATTGAATCTTGACATTAATATCCTGTAAGAACAAGAATAAAAAGCATCTTATGGGTTGAAGAAGTTTCATAGCTTGACTGCAAATTGCTGAGGCATAGAGGACAGTATCTATTTACTGGTGCTGTTGCTCTCAATGCCTTCTCACTTTTGAAAAATCAGTGGTTCTCAGATGTTTTAAAGGAAATCCAAAAGAATTTGTTTCTTCATTCTATAATGTTTTTGGAAGTCCTTAATTACATTCTAAAACACTGTGTATGAAATGTTTTGTGAATAATTTTCATAACCAAGGAATGTTTGGTTGTAAAAGCAGAAAGCCATTCAAAAGTTTCAAATAAGAGGGTGGGGAGAGTTGATATCATAAAAGGGCATTTCATTTTATTTAATTGCTGGTAGACTTGAGGAACCAGCCCTCTGGAACCAACTGGCTTGTTGACATTTCTCTGCATGTTTGCTTCTCTCTTCTCATCCATTATAAACTGACTTTCCTGCCCACACACTTACTTGTAATGGCCTTATCATGACCATCTCAGAATGATAGGCTAAGACCTAGAGCCTACATGACTTCTGGCTCTTCCCACGACTTAGTTTCCTTGTTCTAATTCCAAATCCCCAGGAGACGGTAATAAATGGCTTCAATCAGTTGTGTACTGGAGGTGGGCTTGGGAGTGAAGAGATAGGATTAAATGGCTCAAGGGATCTGTTCTTCCAAGGTGATGAGCAGGGCAGGTTTTCAGAGAGGAAATTATTGGCATCTCTTGTATACATCATGAATAACTTCATTTTATATATATAATGTGAATATTTACAGAGTAAAGCAAGGGGTCTTCTTTTTAGTCTGACAATGTCTTTCATTCTACTTGTGAATTATGTGAGCACATCTCTCCTCTCTTGATTGTGGCAACTTCATTAAGTGATCACATAATGAGAGCATGCTGATTTCTAGATAGAACTCTAAATGAATCTCTGTATTTAAGATTTGATTTTTTAATTTTATACAAAATGTTATCAAATGAAGACTAATTCTACCTCATAAAAATTAAATGACATTTATTTTTTCTTTATTTTTAAATATTACATTTATAAATAAAGTTCATTCATGTTACATAGATAGTTTTGGAAATTTTTGACATTATTAAATAAATCCATTCATGTTACAGAGACATTAAAACCTACTATTTTAGGAAAATCATTCTTGTTCAATGTACATTTATAGTATTGCTTCCTGTATAATTGTAAAATTTGAAATCCTCTTAGCATGCAGAATAGATTATGATATACCCAAGGATTAAGCTTCACTGTCTTGTGTCAGATTAATCCCTCATATATAGATCATCACTTGAGCTGACAGAAATATGGATGCAATTCAGCAAAAAAAAAAAAAAAAAAAGCTCAATGGATAAATAATTTTATGCAGGATGAATGACATGCTTCTTGATTGGTTGATGTATATGTCTCCAAATTAAATTTAAATAACCCTCATGAACACATTTTTCTCAAACTTTCATAGAGATTCATGGAAAGTTGCTCCTTATTTGAATTCTTCTCACTTTACTGGAGTAACACACTTGATAAGAGTATTTTTTATTTTCATATGAGTTTTTACATTATCTTAAACTTTAATTTTCTCATTACTCTTGGTCTTTGCGGCCATTATTAATTAAAATAAGGGGTATTTGAACAAAAGCACTCTGATAACTGAGATGACTACTAAGTGAACAGTGGGCAGGAAGTGTACAGGGTGAGGCAGGAAGGAGGTTTACAGTTGTTCATATGGAAGATAATACAATGATAAGTAATAATACAGGAATAAGCTCTGTGTTGCACGTATTCATGATTGTAAACCTCCTTTTGCCTCACCCTATATATAGCAGGTCATTGGATAATGTCATTTGGTGTTGTCTCATTATAACATTGATAAGATGTTGTAGGAACTTAACTCTTGTTCATACTAATAAGCCTGTGATGAAAGTGGTTTTGTTATACATCATTTTGCTTAAAGTCACAGAAGCTATTGACAATGTTAAGTGGAGACTTACTGTACAGCGTAGATACACCAAAGGGATGATTCCCGGGGGACAGAGCAGGACAGTGTGAGTATAATCTCAGTTTTGTTATTTGACTTTTTAATAAACCAAACCATTTCAATAACAAGTATTCCAAACATAGTCTATTTTAATAATTAGGCACAATGTCAGAGCTAATACGAATTATTGTGGAATTATTTGGGGCCTGGGAATTTGGAGAATAGTTGGAAGAGCTTATGATCCTATTCCTAAAGGAGAGAACCATGGACCTGTCAGTGCTGGTGCAGGTGCAGGTGTAGGTGTAGGTGCTCCCTAGGTTTCTTGGCTATGCCACTGTCCTCACTTCAGAGCTGTGGTTGCTCATTCATAGTCCTGCCAGTCTGTAGCAGAACAGGAATATCAGTTTATTGGAATATTTAATTACTAAACACTCCAGGGTTCCCAGCATTTGAAAAACACAACATTTATAAACCATGGACAGTGTCAAAGATCTCACACATAATGCATTTTTACTACTCTCTAACCTTGGTTTTCTATATATCTGAGTTAATTTTTCCAGAGGCATGGGAAGTGGGAAAATGGGCAATTTACTTTTCTCATTTACATTTTTACTTTGTAGTATAGACTGTGATCTGCTCACATAGGACCTAGAAATAGCACTCAACTTTTCTGCTAGTCTCTCACCTAGTTGAAGAATTCAGTGGTCAAATAAACAAAAGGGTATGGTAGATCAGGAAATGTGGTTCGTATTTTTTGTTAATGACTATTTACTAGAAAATCTGGAGAAAATGTTGCCATCTTGACAAAAAAAAGTATCTTTCTCAGTACAATTTTTTCTTTAAAAAGTTAACTTTTGATTAATGTGATAAAGAAGGATGGGAATAGTACAATGAAAACTTGCTGGTAGCTCTACATCTTTTTTTAGTATGGCTTACATACTATGTATTACTAAAACTTTTCCAGAGCAGTAGCAAATTGAAAACTGTAATTTGAGTTTCATCTCCTCTGCCTCTGGTTAGAGGTATATAGATGAACAGGAAGAAGGGAGAAATACCTAACGTATAAAAAAGCCTTCAATCTGATTAGCTTTTAACTATAGATTTAAATATATAATTTACCTCATGTACAATATTTGAAAAAGATGTTCACTATTACAGACTTTTACAATTGTAAAATATATGCTTTCTACTAATGAATGGGCATCAAGAACTTTGAAGGGTCTGAGATTTGTACCCTACTTGCAAGATAACAAGTTATCAAACTATAGTTTCATGCTGGTGTAACACATGAGGCTCCTTGATTGGAGATGAAGGACTCTTGACTCCTCACAATGATAGTACCCAAAGTATCAACTTTTTCTGGGGAAGGAGGCATTGATTTAGTGAGCCCCATTCCTACAACGTGATGTAAAGAGGGATAGATGACATCTTCACACTCAGTGGGCTGTGTAAAGGATAGCAAATCTGAACTTAGGGAACTCAGATCTTTTATAACTGGGTAGTAAGTGTGCCTGCCCTGTGCTCCACAGGGAGACAGTCTCTTGTTCCAAGGGGAGTCAGAGCCTCATAGCAGTAATTCAAGAGACCCATGGAAAATTGTCTTCCGACAATGGGTCTGGGCTGAAATTTTGCTTAATACTTTATTCATAATGCAAATCAGTGATGTAAACAAGATAACAAGAGCAAATGTTTAAAATACTTGGAAGAACCAAGTCTATAAGTATTCAACTTTTAAAGCACCACATAATGTACAATTTAAGAACCTTCCAAAATTTTACATTATTGAAAGTAAACTAAGCACTTTTACTTAGGATCACTTTGCCATTATGCTGCATGCTTTTGAAATGAACAAAACTTTACTTTGAGAACTCTCTGAATTTAAACTTTTAACTAATTTATACTGTCTTTCCTCTTTTTACTCCATACAGGGAGGTTTTAGTCAGTAAAACACAAATTTCATATTTACACCAAACCAAAGTGAACCATTCTGAGAGAACCACCATCTCCAATTTCCTGAAAGTAAACAAATAAAAGTAATTACAATCATGTTTAAGCAGAGAATAAAAACAATTGACTTAATATTTCTTTTTAATATTTGTAATTTAAATATTTAAAAACGGTGAAACAAAATAGTTTAAAATGCATTACATATGTAAACAAGATAATTGTTTGTTTATCTTACTCTTAAAATTTTGACACAGTAGTCATAAGAATCAGTGAAGAGAAATAATACATGAAGCATAAAAAGGCAAAGAAGGAAGGGCAGGAAGTTAGCTGAAATTTGGAAGCACCTGAAGACTCTTACAATGAAAAGTTGCAGACTGTGGGTCATCATTTGTGATTCCATCTATTTGATTTTACAATACTATCTGTTCTAAAAGGACCTATGTAGCATATTTTTCTTAACTTTGATGTTTTACTATTTGATACTGGCTCTTGAGGTAATGGTTCATAGAAAGATAATGGTTTTATAAGCCCTGTGTACAGTTTTATGAAGCTGCAAAGAGATACTAACAAGGACCTCATCCATTTCCCATTTCTTTTTCTTTCTCCCCCAACAAGGATTTTTAAACTTATTTTTTAAATTAAATTTCTTTTTTTTTTTTTTTTTTTTAACATATTTTTATTGATTTCAGAGAGAGGAAAGGGGGGGGAGNTTTTTTTTAACATATCTTTATTGATTTCAGAGAGAGGAAAGGAGGGGGAGAGAGAGAGATAGAAACATCAATGATGACAGAGTCATTGATAGGCTGAAGCCCGCAACCCGGGCATGTGCCCTGACAGGGAATGACCCTTGATCTCCTGGATCCTAGGTCGATGCTCAACTGCTGAGCCACGCCCAGCCAGGCTAAATTAAATTTCTTGATGTGACATTGGTTAATTACATTATATAGGTTTCAAGTGTACAATTCTATGATATGTCACCTGTATATTAATTACATTGTGTGTTTACCACCCAAAGTCCAATCTTCTTCCCTCACCATATACAGGGTGTCCCCAAAACTGTATACACACTTTAACAGCTGATAGCTCAATGGATGTTTCTTTCTTTTCAGAATTAACCCATTGGAATTAATAATTATTCAAAGTGTGCATACATTTTTGGGGACACCCTGTATTTGCTCTCATTTACCCTTTACTACTTCCCCAGCCCTTTCCTTCTGGTGACCACCATACTGTTTGTTGTCTGTGTCTATGAATTTTTGACTTTCTTGTTTGTTCATTTGTTGCTTCCAGTTTTATATCCCACATGAGTGAAATCATATGGTTCTTGACTTTTTCTGTCTGACTTATTTCATTTAGCATGATATTCTCAAGATCCACCTATGTGCAAAATGGCAGTATTTTATATTTTCTTATGGCTGAGTAGTATTCTATTGTATATATATACCACATCTTTATCCAATGTATCGGAGGACACTTTGGTGGTTTCCATGTCTTGGCCATCATGAATAATGCTGCAGTGAACATAAGGGTGCATATATCTTTGTGAATGAATGTTTTCAAAATTTTCAGGTAGATACTGAGAAGAGGGGTTGCTGGTTCATATGGTAACTGTATTCTTAATTTTTTTTTAGGAACTTCCATACTGTTTTCCATTGTGGTTTAACCAGTTTACATTCCCACTGGCAGTAATGGAGGGTTCCTTTTTTTCCACAACCTCTCCAACACTTATTATTAGTCTTGCTGATAATAGCTAGTCTAACGGGGTGAGGTGGTATCTTACTGTATTACCACAGACACCATAGAAATACAAAGGATCATACTGGAGTACTATGAAAGCCTATATACCATCAAATTCAATAACCCAGAAGAAATGGATAAGTTCCTGGAAATATATAACCTTCCTTCACTGAGTCAGGAAGAACTGGGAAATCTATATGGACATATCAACAGTGAGGAAATTGAAACAACCATGAAAAACCAAAAAGTAAAAGTCCAGGATCAGATGGCTTTACTAGTGAATTCTACCAAACATTCAAAGAAGATTTAATACCTGTCCTTGTCCAAAAAATTGAAGAGGCAGTACATCCTAACACATTTTTTGAGGCCAACATAACCCTGATACCAAAAGCCGAGAAGGACAACACAAAAAGGGAAACGTGGGACCAATATCTCTGATGAGTACAGATGCAAAATCCTAGATGAAATACTAGCAAATCAAACACAACAATACATTAAAAATAATGCATCACAGTCACAGGAGGGACATGAAGAAACTAAGTTGGAGGCAGAGGAAGACACTGAGATTGATCGTTCTCGCAACTTGGACATTTTTTAGTACATTTTGAGGAATAAACCCTCCTAAGATGATAATGTAATAAATCATTTCTACTGAATTGCTTTGTTTTACTTTGCACTGACAGACATGAAAATCAGGAGAGAAATACCTGTTTTCTTGTTTTAAATAAAATTGAATATTTGGGGGAAAAATAATACATCCCAATCTAGTGGGGTTCATTCCAGAGTCACAACGTTCACAAATTGATCAATTAATACACCACACCACACTAACAAAGGATAAAAATCGTATGATCATATCAATAGATGTGGAAAAAGCATTTGACAAGATACAACATCCATTTATGATTAAAACACTCAATAAAGGCCATATGTGACAGACCTTCAGCTAATAACATACTCGATGAAAAACTGAAAGCTTTTCCTCTAAGATCACGAACAAAATAGGGATGTCCACTCTTACCACTGTTACTCAGCATAGTACTCGAAGTCCTAGCCAGAACCATTAGGCAAGAGAAATAAAAGACATCTAAATTAGGAATGAAGTACAATTTTCACTTTTTGCAGATGACATGATTCTTTATATAGAAAACCCTAAAGACTCCATCCCCGACAAGGATTTTATGATAGGATTCTGAAATTGGAGGATGTTTAAATGTAAGACTAACAGTGAGTAATATTATTTGAAAAATAACACAGTGGAGCCATTTGGGAAAGTTTGGAGATAACCTATTTAGAATTGAAATGGTAAAGGGGAAGGGTAAAGAGAATAGGACTGGTGGTTGTACTTAAACTAACAGGTCATAATTGGAGACATTTCTCTGAAAAGTTATTCCTTAAGTTATATCTTGAAAGTTCTTTTTGCTAAGAGAAGACTTTCAGAAAGACATCATAGTATTTTAAGTAGTTATATCTTGAAGAAAACAGGTATGGCGTTGGCAAGTAAGGGAAAGGTATGTATGTAAGTACTTGTGGATCCTGAGGTACACAAGTAAAAAAAAAAAGACACCTGGAAAAACAGGTAACAAGAACAATGAGTAATTTAATATTGCCTGGGGCTTGTGTGTGCATGCTGGCTTTTAGCTTTCAATCTAAAAACAAAAAGTCATTTATATAAGCACTGGTATTTAAAAAAACACATAAGATCCAACTCATAGCTTATAAGCTATGATACCAAAATCAGTTTTTTATACTACTGAAACGGTCATCAGGAAATCTGGAGTTAGCTTTTGGTCTTATTCACTAACTGGCAGAAATTGTACGTAAATTATTTTCCTAATAACTGGATATAATTGTTGCTCGACGGCCAGACTGCATACCCAGGAAGTATCATCTGTTTCAGCCATATTCTTGATGTTCCATAGTGTCTTCTATCCAGGGCTTAAGACCTCTCTTAACATTAGGAACTACATTTTTAAAAGTAGGAATCAGAATTAACTTCTCAAGGATCTACAAGGACTTAAAAAAAATTTTTTTTTTTTTCCTTTGAAGGATTTCCTTTAACATCCATCCTGTTTTTTCCCTGGCCAGGTAGCTCAGTTGGTTAAGAGCATCGTCCCGATGCACTAAGGCTGCGGGTTCAATCCCAGTCGGGGCACATGCAACAATCAACCAATGAGTGTATAAATAAATGGAACAACAAATCGATGCCTGTTTCTGTCTCTGTCTGTCTGTCTGTCTCTCTCCCCCCTCCCTCTCCCTTCCTCTCTCCTAAAATCAGTGAAAAAAATGATTAAAAAATAATAAAATCCATCCTATTTTTAAAGAAGACTTCAGGGCATTTCCAAGGTTTCCATGAAAGTCTGTTCCATGCTAATAACCTTGACTGGTATTCTATTTACTTTATAGGAATTTTGATGATTAATGAAATAATGTATTTTGTATACTTATTAATAATTATTAACAGTAAAGTATAGTCATTAAATAAAATTTGGAAAACAGAAAGGTACAAAAATTTTTCTGTTGTCTCACCAGTCATATGAAAACTATGGTTTAATGTGTATTTGCTTTCGGTCTCGTTTTTCCACATACATGTTTTATTTGTTTTTAAGACAGCAGAAATTATATTGGATTTACAGTTCTCTATATTTTTGGCTTGGTTTTTGGCTTCACTTTATTCTTCAATGCTCCCACACAGTCTTTGTTTTTAATGGCTAAATTTTATTTCATTAAATACTATAGTGCTCCTTAATCACTGCTTTTATTTTTGTTAAATTTATCCAACTCCGAATTTCTTCTTTTTTATAAATAGCCCTATGATAGACATTCTTAGGTGTGAAATTTTTTCTGTGTTTAGGATTATTTCCTTGGTATAGAGCTGTAGCAATAAGAATTATTGGATCAAAATTTATGAAATTTTAGGCTGCTGGATGCACAGTATAGAATTGGTAGTTTTGGTTTGTTTCTTCCCTAGTTTGGGAGGAGGTGATTTTGTTTGGTAATAGGAAGTCATAGTTTCAGTGGAGGTTGATCATTTTATTAAGTTCTGAAACTGCTCACCCTTGACTGAACGGCAACATGTTAATTCATGTAATAATTTAATGCAACAAAAGGGTTTTTCCCAGTCCCTCATTTGAGTTCTACATATAGTTAAGTGTATTTTCTGAGCTACACCCTATTGCTGTTACCTAATGTTGGGCAATACCAGGTTACCTTTCTTTTAAAATGTACACAAACTTTTGTAAGCAGACTCTGCAGACAAGTTAAGGTTTGCTTTGCTACAAACTGGATTTTGACCTGTTGCTTACTTAATACTGACATCTTCTATTAAA